GCCTTTGAGAATAATCCAAAAACCTTTTCACCTACTTGTTATTTAAGCATGTCACCTACTTTTTCTGTAACTCTTTCTCCAATTGTTGGTTTAGGACGCTCCATTTAAAGGCCACTGAGTGCAGTGTTGATTGCTTCTGCTCTTTGATACTGTTAAAATAATGTGAATACTATCTTTTCTCACAGTTACTTGATTTATTTATTTTCGAACTGACACCTTATATGTTCTTTGACTTTATATTGGAAGTATTTTGGAGGCTAAAAATTTTTTTGGTTCCTCAGTGCTATAAATAATAATTTTAAAATATTTATGATGATGTCAAAATTATAACTTTTTTTTTCAGAACATGCTAAGGACTATTATAAGTGGCAGGCACTTTAGGGAAAGAAGTAATTAAAAGTAACTGATTTATTGCATTACTCAAGCAACCACAGCCTTCATTAAATACTCTATTCTTAAGATTAATCAAATAGAATGTAATTTATCAAATATATTTACCAGATTAAAGTTTTTGGATTGAAATTATGGTTCCTCACATGTCAACCCCAAGTTATGTGTATTAGTCAGATTCTAGTGGCTATTAACTATATAAAAAAATCCAATCACATCTCTATATTTGGAAAGTGGATAAAGATCAGTCTACTCATGTACTTTGATGGTCTAGCAAGGTTCAGATTAGTTTGGAATTCATCTAGAAAATTAATTACTATTTGTATATTGTGAGATCATGGATGCTTTCTGTGGAGAACAGATTCCCCACCCTCACTTCCATTCACATGCTCAGAACATCAGCATCTTTACTTGTTTAATATAGTGTGAAATTCTTAAAACCATTTCTGATAGCATTTCCCCAGCTTCTCTTTTATAGTGAGGCCAGTTTAAGTCCCTCTATTCACTAGGGGGCGCTTGTCACATATAAGAAAATCCTAGACAGGTGATGACTCCTCCACACCCTACCTGGTAGAGGAGTCTATTTATTTGCATTTATGAGCTGTCCAGACACACACCAAGAACCAGAGTCCTAGAACTTACCGGCTTTGGAGCCCTATTACTCAGCAATGGAAGCTGACAGGCAAGTATGCAATTCACAAGTGTTTTACAAGCACCATTGTCTGAGAACAAAAGCCTACCTACTCTGTGCAAAGGGAAGGAGACTTGCATGTCCACTCACCTAGAATGACAGCCACCTAACCAAGATCTTGGTGGCGTTGTGGCAGAACAAAGTCAAATACAAGCACCTATAGTATCTGCAAAATTTTCAAAACAGAGAGTTCTTTGTGAGGGATTGAATACAAATACAACACAATTACAAAAACTAAGGGAGAGGATGTGATTATCATAAAAATGTTTTTATATAGAATAGCAAAATATTTTAAAAGACTTACAGCCCATACAGAATTGACAGCATAAACAGACCTATCCATTTTTCCTCTAGTGTTTCCACCTTCCCATGTTGTCAGTATTGGTGGCAACTTGTGCTTTCAAAGAAAGATGACCCCAGGAATCTGTTGAATCAGGAGTGAAAAGAGGTGGTCTGATAAAAAAGAGCTATAGAAAGACCCTAAGTCTTACAGAAGTAAATTTTGCCAAGTGGATAATACAGAGAATGGAGAAAATCAATGGTAATACTATTTGCTGTCTATTAGTTCTGGTCTTTTGTTTTATTCCACTCCACCTACTACACAAAGATAAAAACACGTAGCACCCATGACAATACAGGTTCTTAACTAATTTAGAATTACAATTTTTGCCTTAAGTCATCTTTCATTTACAAAATTTTAAGATGTTTACTTTTTTGTTAACTTTCATACAGTTATTTTTATTATATTACATGGATATAGATGCTCCTGATAATTCATGAGTATTGAAAAAGTAACAGACAATACAGTGAAGTGAAAAGCCCCCATAATCTTATCTATCATTGTTAATAGAAATCATTTTTCCAGATTTTTACACACCTGTGTAAGCTCTTTTTTCTTTACACAAATGGTTATTTATTATTCAATAATCTGCTTTTAAAAAACTTAACAAAAGATCAGGAGCACTTTTCAATGTAAAAATATCAACTCCTTAATATTCCATTATATGATATACCATAATTTATTTAGCCATTAGAATTAGATTGTTTCCAGTTTGAGCTATTATATCAATTTGACTATTAGTGTCCTTGTATATACAATTTTGTGAATTTTCCTAATTATTTTCTTAGCATAAATTTCTCCAAGGGAAATTCCTGGATCAGGGAGTTTTAATTTAGAAATTTTGATACATGATGACTGATTATTCTCCAGAAATGTATCAATTCACAATTCTACCAAAATCTATTAAATTGAACTGATTTCCCCATACCCAATTCTTCTTACTGAATTTAATTATGCTCTGTAATCATTACCAATCTGATAGCCAAAGAATGACATTTATTGTTACTTAACGGTTTATCTTGCTTATTGGCATTTCAGCTTCTTTCTTTTGGGAATTGCCAATTTGTATTCCTTGCCCACTTTCTAATAGTTGTGTCTACTTTTCATATTGACTTATAAGAGATTTTTATGTAATAAAATAATTAACAGTTTGCTATATATGTTGCAAATCTATTTTCCCAGTTTATTTGTGTTTCACTGGATTTATTACAACAATTTTTAACTAGACATATTGGAGGCCAGGGAAAAATTAGGCTCACCCATCACCACCTCCACCAGAATTATGTCTCAGAATAGTCTTTTTCAAACTATGTAATGTCTGGCAGTTCTGATCTACCCTTCTGAGAGCACATGCTACTCCCTTCCGAAGAATCTCAACTACAAATATCTTGTATTGGATATTCACTATTTTGAGGTCCCTAGTATGTACACCCAGTCTATACTCTTTCTCTTTTATAAGTCAGTGCTATTGGTCCAGTCTCTCTGCACATAGCCAAACTTCAAGTCCATGTAGCCACACTTCAAGTTGCGTGTTCTAGGGTGTAGGGTTAAGGGTGCCAAACCATAGTGGTGGGTATAGTTCAAGTGGTAGAGTGCGTGCTTAGCATGCACAAGGTCCTGAGTTCAGTCCCCAGTACCTCCTCTAAAAAGTAAGTAAATAAATAAACCTAATTCCCTGTCCCCCTCCCTATAAAAAAAAAAAAAGACCAAACCATGGTATTGCTGCCAGTTTTGCCTGGCTTGGTTACATCCAGAAAAGTTCTATCACTCTCAGCTGAATAACTATGGGTTTCCAGTTCCTTCATTTACTATATCTTATAATATCTTCATCTTCACCAATCATACAAACCTTGACCAAGAAATCTGATAATAAATGGGAAGTGGTAAGGAGAAAGCCTCCATCATGCTCTTCTCTCCCCATGACTAAAAGTCAGTCTGGTTTCATCGTAGAAGACAAAAAGAGCGCCTGAGAGCAAACTAATTCACCCTGACCAAGAAAGAAACTGGCTGTATTTCAAGGACTTAGTATAAAAAACCTGACTCTTGGTTCCATGTCAGCATTTAGCTGACTCCATCCATATCAGCCATCCTGATAATCTGGGGGTGCCTTCAGGAAAATGGCTATATGTGA